TATGTTCACTTGACTTCTACACCATACGTGATTGCATGCAGGTTGTGATAAGCACGGGTAGTTTGGGTGTCAAGACCATCTGAATACCTTTGTATACTCACTCAGCAAGATCTCTTTCCCTGGAAGATATACCACCATAGTACAACAACGCTTTCATCTTACACTATGTTCTGTGGGCTGATAGTGCGTACCAGAATTTGCTGCACAGGCTATGACACGAAGTTTATTCGAATTATATCGAAGACTCTGAAAAAGGTCACTGACCCCTGATGTCGGGATATACCATGTCAGCCACCCTACCATGGAAGTTGAGACAGTGTCTACAAAATGCCGATCGTTCGTTTTTCAAAGATACTCGAAGGAGAAGATGACTTCAGGCGACAAACCATAGAAAAGTGACAGGCAGCTTTTGTGAGCAAGTTTCATCGTTAGGCACCGATGAGTATATCGCACAACTGACGGTAGTTATTCAATATACTATTGCCCTCGACCACGGTGAGGACTGTCGGTAACGGTCTTGGGTTGCTGATTAGGTATCTATTAGATTTTGGTCTATTGATGCTTCTATTGTGGGGCAAGAAGCCACGCTTTCCACCGCTGTATTAGTGTTAATTGCATTTTAATTGGGAGAACTTTTTTCCGTAGCTTTTCCCAAGAACCGAATTTGGTTTAAAGCTTACATTGATACAGAACTAATGAATCGAGTCCAAAACACCTTCATACTTGGTTTGGACAAACTGGAATCGAGTCTTGAAAGTGGGTCGGGTGATTTCTTGTCAACATACTTCATAGTTTAGTTTCTGTACCATCATGGTTTCGAACAACTGCCTGTGTGACGCTGTGTGTAAGGTGGCAAATTTATGGAATTTTATCGGTGCAGCTCAGCGGACTGATGAACAGGTTGAGTTCAAAGCGAGGATGGTGCAAATTTCGCCCACTGAAAGCCGAAAACTTCAAAATATTGGTTCATCTACTGAGATGAAGTGAGAACCTTTGGTCTGGTCATCATCATCATTATCGACAGCATGACATCAGCGTACAACACCGATGCTTCACTGCCGTACAACCATGATTTAGTTGAAAGCCTTATTGTAAAGAGAAGAGTAAAGGAGAACGGGGAAGGGTTAGTGCTAGCTGACCACAATCATTCAGAAGTGCCTATACTTCCAGACATTCACTCAGGCAATCTGGATAGAAACAAGAACGCCACTGACATCGGTTGGCAGCCATATCTTGTAATGTCTCCAACCAGACACAGTGAGGATCACGCGGTCCCCATCCTGGAAGGCGAGTAGCACCGACAGCACCCAAGCGTTTCGTGATCTCCTTCATACTCCACTGCCAAGTCAAGGGTTGGCCACCTCTCTGAGTTGGGCATGGAAAACAGCACTCTCTTCGGCAAACGATGGTTCGGTATACATAACACATGTCCCAACCAACGCAGCTTCTGGTGCTGGACACATTCTTCAGTGAAAAGTACCCGTTACACAACCGATAACGCTCTTTCTAGCTGTCTCGTTACGGATTCACCGACACCAACTCACACGAGCTATGGTTCTGAGACAACGACTGTCGAACACCTGGAGACGTCTCAGTTCCGCTGCTCGAATAGGCCAAGTCCCACAGCCATACAACTAGACAGCCCGTACTGCAGCTTCATACATACGTCCCTTCAGATCCAGGGATAAACCATTCTGACGCCATAGGTGTCTCAAAGGTGCTTACTAAAATAATAGATTCGTAAAGTGGCGTTACGTAACTCAGAATTCCACAACTTTGTATACACTGCGCGCAATCATCATTGCATGACAGCACTAGTACAATGTCTGTTTCCAAACACACCTTATCAGATGATTAATTGAACAAATTTTTTTCTGAAAGGCTTAGGCGTAGCCAGCACGAACGAGGCGGAGTCTGAAAGACTGAAAAATACATGACAAGACAAGGTGTAACGCACTACGGAGAGTACCAAAGAAATACAGGTTTGTTCTTTATCTGAAAGGTAATGAGCAGACAAACCATAAAATTCACATGCCAAGGGTTAATGAAAACCCAGTATGAAATCGAACGGTTTTTTGACGTGTTTTGAAGAGATTACGAGATCCACTGGAGATTAGTTTACTGGGCTTGTGTTTCGCTCTTTTCAAAGTCCATCAGCGTTGCGCATCCTTGGTCGTGCCGAGGTCTGAACTCCGGACATCTGACGTGCAAGGTGAGTGAATTACCACTGCTCCATCAGTGCAAGCAGGGAGGCGGGTCCGAACAAGTGAGTGTATTCACGCTTGTGCAATGTGATTGTTCTGTGCTGCTTTCCACAGACCATAACAGTCTTTCATCTGAAAGGCTATCACTTGAAGAGTCAGCCAACACTGGATCACGTGACGTGAAATGCGTAGCTGAAGGGTGAGAGGCACTGTATGCTCACACTGCTAACAAGCCGCTCGTTAGCAAATGGCGCACGAACTCTAAGGATACGCTTTTAAGCATGAGGCAAACGTCAATTTCGGCAAAGTAATGACTGAAACATAAAAATAACCCCATATTTTAATCCCCCCTTCACCTAGAGGTAAGAATGCTTATCAAATTTGGCATCTGTTTCTTGCTGAAAGGCGTTTTGAGTCTGCAAGGCAACCAGCTCGATCTTGTTCCGCTTCTTATGAACAAAAATTATCAGGTATGATAAAACAAAACTGTGGAAATCCAGAGGGTTGACTGCCAACGACTGAGAAGCGGAACCTCGCTTGCGACAGGTATCAGTTTATTTTCTGACTACTTTTTCTACTTCGGAGACGGATCAATATTGTACCTGAGTCGAAATCCTAACTTCGTCGGATAACTCTCACCTGCAGTTCCAGATGGTTAACGGGAACCTAACTATAGTTGTCTATTCTGGACGAATAATTCAGAACCGGACTGTTTGACAACAGGCTAAGGGTCAACCCTGAGGTGTATACCAGATGAGTGGAATCTCCAAAGTAGGAAAAGAGTTGTGGTGATTGATGTTGTCTAGTATGAGGAGCTAAACGCACAAAAAGCAGTTCTTTCATCGCAGTTGATCGAAGCGTTATGAAATGCCTTGTCACCAGTGTGCCGGTGATACTACTGATGGTATGGTATGCGAGTAGTGTGTATTCCCGTAAACCACTTTGCGTCTCTTGAAAAGTGAGATCTATTACGGAATTTGCAGAGTCGCTTTGTAGCTTAGATTTGAGCAACAGTTAATGAATATCCAGGAAAGTTCGGAAAGACGCGTTCAAGTAGAATATGCATATTCAGTTTTTTGTAAACAAGATAGAGAGTATTGAGAGTATTGAGTGTGAGAGTATTGCTTCCCTGTCCAAGTCTGAAACTGGTCAGTTGGCATTCCCCGATAAGTAGCTCCGCAGCGAGGGCCCTCGTCCTTTCACTCGTAACCCCGGAGCATACAAAACTATTCGTCTGATGAAGTGTTTAGAATGCATCTGTTCTTTGAGGATAGTGATGAACTGACATCGGATTCTATATCGGATATGGTTTCCGTAACACCTGGAAACACCTGACCAAATTTCACCTACTGATGTGGTAATGATTTGACATTGGATGCAACATGTCCGACCTTCTTCACCGAGCAAACGTTTCACCGGATAAGCAGTCGGTTACTTTCGAGGTTGGCAGTGAGCAAGCAAGTGTGTCCAGATGAGGAAATCCGAATGGTGACTGTACTTAACTGCTTATTATTTACTCATGTTTTAAGGGTCCAACCGGAGTGCGTGACCCCGATTCGATAGAACACTCGACCTTGAAATAGTCTCATGTGAGACTGTATCTGCCGATTAACTGGAATTATTGATCTCACCGATCACCGCAGTGAAATCATTCTTTTTTTGCACGTGATTATGTCAGCTGCTTTTGGCTATGGTTATTAAATTTCAGTGTTTCATTGTTTATTTGACACGCGTTCAAGGCCATCGTGTTAACTGTACAACAACAGTTAGAAATCGAATTCATTGCTCTTCTGGTTTACGTAGAACTGACCTACAGAATTCGTACCACTGGACAGTATAGAATATTTGGAGAACATATATGGTGCATTCTTCCGGGTGACCTCTACTAGCATGAGAAGTCCCGATCATCCAGTATTTTTCAAGTCTGGAACAAGATGCAAAAACAGCTGTCGTAAGATATATGAAGCGAATAAGCTTTGGGAATAATAATTACCCATCTGGATACTTTCCTATGCAAAAAAACTTGACGTGCAAATAGTTTTCGTAATTTGGTTGGCGCACACTCCGTGTTTGTCTCTCTGTTATGCCTGTTCGCTCTGAAATCCTTCTGTTATTGAGCGGTAAAAACTATGTTCGAAACATAATGCACTTAGGGATCAGACGACCAAATGAGTGGGCGGTTGAAAGATTCGTTTGTGGGCTTGTCTTGTCCATCGCATAAATGCGACTGATGTGGGAAAAACGCGACGAGTGACTGTCAGTTTGTGACAAAACGCTGATCACATCATTTGGTCAGTTTGTGCCAGGAGAATGGGCTGATTATGTTGACAGATGTTCCACAAGGTTTTCCTGATATCTTACGGATACATGACAAAGCGGAAAAACCATAGAAGTGTTAAGGCCATTTTCAAGTGCAGCCCGTTAACCAGAGAATAACCATTCAGATGTTGGAAAATGCTCCCGCTTGTTTTGGATGGAAAAGCATCTTTAATTATCACTTTTAATCGGTTGTATCTAATAGTTGGAACGTTGAAATCTTGATCGACATAGTATGACCGACGACGAAAACAGGATAATATGACTCCATACACATATTATATGTATGTTACATGATTTTGTGTGGTCGATTTAGTATAATCGGTTTGTGATATGCTATATATATATATATATATATATATACACTTAGATTCACTTCAGACAGATTTGCCGGGTACTAGTGACTGAAACCCTACGTAAAGCAGATCAGCAATGTATGGCCTTTTTGAATGACGTCTTGCCCTTGAACAATGGGATGTGGCGTGCCTCAAGTACTGTTGGTCGTGAATGCCATGATTGCACGAGGGTTGGGATACTGCCAGGGCGCCCACACTAAACCGAAACCTTTGGCTCAAAAGCCTAACCACAATGCAGCGGTGTTTGGCAGGAAATGCAAATCCATTACCATTTCTACGGAACAAGTCACCGCATGTTCCAACCCTCCACCTGAAGGGCCGGCAGGCTGTGTTCGTCAGACTAACCATTGACCGACCTGGCATGAGAGACTCTGTGAACGTCACGTGGACACTCCCCAGTACAGCTCAGTGGATCACTGACGTGCGCAAACCGCCAAACCACGGTAAGCTCCAGTCTCTTCGTGACAGTGAAGCATCGGTGTTGAACACTGATGTCATGCTCTCGATGGTGATGATGATGATGATGATGATGATGATGATGATGATGATGATGATGATGATGTGCCTCAAACCCCAGCAATCTGGTGTAGATGTCAGTATGCCGGGCTGCACTGTCTTGTGTTGGATTTTTAAAAGATCTAAGACCGACAGTGATGCTCTTTGAAACCCACCTGAAGACTGTCAAAATAGCAGAGATTCGGTTATCATGAAGTCGGATCTCAATTCTTCCGATGACTGCAAATAAGCTGTTTCAGGATTCGACCATCTGGTGTTAATCACACATTACCTAGCTAGTGCGCATTTTGACCCGTTGATCATGTTTCTGTCAAGAGCATCATTGTGTGTGATTTGTCCAGATTGAGAGATCCAAAAGACATTGCGCAGGCGTAATTTGTTTAGCATCTATCGGTATGCCGTCCACGGTTAGCTGCTATAGTAAAGTTACTACGACAGCGACGTACAATGTCACCGTTTCCACGCGTTAAGTCTAACGCGTTCAGGTGGACCTCCAAACTTATCGCTTGCCGCGACATGTAGCCTAGTAACGTTTGCTCCACTGGCGTGTTAAGTTCAAAATCTGTGGAGGTGGTCCTACAAGCAACTGCCTGAACAGTTTCAGCGGACCGGGGGAACTTGATGCTGTAGATGGTCAAGTTTGGGACAACCGAGCCTATGAATAGGGGTCCTCTTTTTTCAACTGAGTCATATGCTTTTGGAAAGCTTATGAATGATGCACATTTAAGTCAGTAATTGCATCTGATGTACTCACATTTCCGTGTGATCCTGTGAGCGCTGTATGGTCATTGCGATGACTGCCACAGCTGCGATTGCGTGGACAACAGAAACAAGCGGATGCCTAAACGAACGCGTTCACATGAAGCGCACACTCTCAGCATCACTTAGACTCTTTACCTTCTCATCGTCACCAGACATAATGTCATTTTTTAGATCGCCTGAGGTACCGCATCTGGCTTAGGTCCCACGTATATGAGCTACATTCCAAGCTTCCCACCCACGCGTCGAACAAAATATGACTCAGTTGTACAGTTATGAAGGTATATAGCACATGCATCACCTGTTCTCACGTAGACAACATTTGACGTGTCCATGCACTTACGACTGATGAGACGGTTCTGAATTCAATTACAGTTTTTTTAATTACGGTAATTATCACAGACAGCCTAAACATTCTTTCTATCCACTATTAAGGAAAATCAATACAATAATATATTAGGCACCCACCTAACAACAGTACACTGGGAAGACTATCTCACTTTCAGTGACTCACCAGTCTAATTCGTTGGTGGCCTCTTCTAGATTTGTTTGG